CCCTAAGTCCTTCTCCGCAGGGCTGCTCTGAATCTCTTTTCTGCCCAACCTGTAGCTGTGCCTGGGATTGCTCCAACCCAGGTGTAGGACCTTGCAGTTGGCATGGTTAAACTTCATCAGGCTGGCATCTGCCAACCTCTCAAGTGTGTCAAGGTCCCTCTGGATGGCATTCCTTCCCTCCAGCGTCTCAACCGAACCACACAGCTTGGTGTCATCGGCAAACTTGCTGAGAGTGCACTCAATCCCACTGTCCATGTCACCAACAAAGATGTTGAACAAGACTGGTCCCAACACCAATCCCTGAGGGACACCACTAGTTACTGATTTCCAGATGGACATTGAGCCATTGACCTCCTTTTTTTTGTATGTGGCCATCCAGCCAGTTCTTTATCCACCAAGTGGTCCACCTATTAGATTGATGTCTCTCGAATTTAGAGACAAGGTTGTTGTGTGGGACAATGTTGAATGCTTTGCACAAGTCCAGGTAGACAACATCAACTGCTCTACCCCATCCATCAGTTATGTAGCCCCATCATAGAAGGTCACCAAATTGGTCAGGCAGGATTTCTCCTTAGTGAAGCCATTCTGGCTGTCCTCAACCACCTTATTGTTTTTCATGTGCCTTAGCATGCTTTCCAGGAGAATCTGCTCCAAGATTTTGCCAGACACAGAGGTGAGACTAACTGGTCTGCAGTTCCCTGGGTCATCCTTTTTCCCCTTCTTGAAAATAGCGGTTATTTCTTTTTTTCCTGTCATCGGGAACTTCACCTGACTGCCATGATTTTTCAAATATGATGGACTGTGGCTTAGCAACTTCATTCACCAGCTCCTTCAAGACCCATGGATGGATTTCATCAGGTCCCATGGACTTGTGCACAATCAGGTTTTTAATATGGTCTCAAACCAGATCCTCTCCTACAATGGGCCTAAGGTGTTCGTTCTCACAGTCCCTATGTTTGCCTTCCATGACACAGAGTTCTCTGGTACAAGTCCTGTCCACTGAAATTTTGTCCAAAGACTTAAGGGATTTGGTCTATGTAATAGATAGAATTGCCCCAGATTTGTTCTTAAGATGGAACCAGGAAGGAAGTTCGTATTCTACTTCAACATTTCACATTCTCACCAACCTTTATTTTGACCCTCTGAACTTCTAGGTAATCTGAAGTCCTGTGGTGGAAAGTCATCCCTATGCAGTATTTAGGTTCTTCCTTCAACTCTGATGTATTAGCTGTATCTCTCCTGCCACAAATTATGTAACAGATATAAAGTCAAGTAGAAATTGATTTGTGCTTGGGACCCATGAGGTCTGTGTCAACATCTTATCAATAAAAAGAATGATGAATGTGTCCATAAGGCTTCTTTAGCCTTAGTTTCTAGCACTGCTACTCAAATTTTGAGTGAATATCAGAGACAGAGTTTGCCAAACTCTCACATTTCACTGGCCTGCATAGCTGTACCTTTACTGCTTGACTGAAAATATATTTGCACTGTTATAATCAGCTGAAAACTGAGAAAAAAGATCATGTTATGGATGCCCTCATTTAGAGTTCAGGGGGCCTGGTATATAAAAAAATGCAGTGAATAAAGATGCACTTTTTTATGGTCTAATTTAAAAATAGTTCTTTAAATTCTATGCTTAGATCTCAACATAATGTGAATCCATCTTAAAAGGCATATTATTACACTGTGGGTCTTGTTGGGGTTTTTTCTTAGTAATTTACTCTCTTTGTGCAGGAGATCTTTGCAGGGTGAGGAGCTATTTATAAAAGTGTAAACCCATGGATGCAATTCCAATATTTGGGTCAGTAACTCAGGTTCCCTGTGGGAATGCACTCTAGGGTTTATATTTTTCTTTTCAACCAGAAGTTGTTTTACACTTCAAGGAATGTACTATGATGCTACTTATAGTTGTTAGTTTCTTTTAATGGTAGAGATTCTGCGTAGGTTTGGATTTTCTGTCAAACTGAACTTTGCTACACTGACTTGACCTTTTTTAGATTTCTGGTGTTACTCCCAGGTCCATGCAATTGCAATTGTAAAGAACAGAGATGGTTGTCCAAATCACAGAATACTGAAAAGGTCAAAGTAGCAATGCTGGCTTCACTGTTTCTCCAGGTGTAAGTATCCACATAATTGTCATGACTAGACTTGAAATAAGCCTGGAAAATGGTTTTTGTGAACTCTTGTTTTTGATGGTGGAAGTGATGAAAATGCTAAGTGGTAAAAATGATATTATTCTGAAGAGATTCTTAAGATTTTGATCAAAATATTTAACTCTTGCCATGCCAAACAAAGGTTATAAGCAATGTTTCACTATAGGCATTTTTTGGTTTTTATCTAGGTTTCCCACAGCTGAATGATGGTTTCCCAGATGATGGATATATCTTGCGGTCTGTCTTGTGTAAGACCTGTCAAAAGAATTTTATTCTCTTTCAATCTACCATGCTACCATAAAATTAGAATATATGTGTTTGGGTTTTGATGGTTTGTTTTTTTTTTAAGCTTTCTCATCATAAGGAAACTTTATAAACTTTAATATATAAACTTAATCACAAGGAAACTTTATAAATCAAGACTCCTGCAGCCTTATGTGTGACTATTGACTAGCACACAGGAAGTAGAGTCATTATTTCACATATTTGGCACTTCATGATCTCATATATAATGGCATACAACCCTCAATCACCACATGAATTGTATCAGATGGAGTATCTGACATTTTTTGTGTTTCATTGGGAGATAAATGGATTATTTCAATTTTTATGAATTTAAATTTTATTAGTTACACCCAAAATCCTGACATGGCAAATTAACCATACACCTTATAAATGGAGCCAATAAGTTAGTCTAAATAGAAATTTTAGCAGGCTTAGCATAATGCAGCAATTCCTACAAATAATGCTAGCACAGTCCACATTATAGAAAAGCCTCACTAAAGATACAGTACAGTTGTTTTAGGTGAAGTTCTTAGTATCAACCCCTGTTCTCCAGTGCTGTGTTTAGCTTTCTGATGTCCCTCTGGGTCCTAAGCTTGACAGCATCAGTCTTTCTCAGGAAGAATAGTGGTGATGAGGGGAATTACAGTATGTCATCATTGTCCTGAGTCCTTCACCTGAAGGCATGTGATGTTCATAATGAGATTTTCCTCCACTTCAGTTTTACATTCACTTAAGTATTCTGCTTCCTTCTTTTTGAGTTTCAGCTGAAGTTCAAAAGCTGTAAAATAGCTGTCCTGATTAATACAACTTCTCACTCTTTATTATGTAGCAACAACCTAAAGCAGACTTTACAATATGTGATATTCACAGACTTAAGCTGAAGCAGGCAAGGCAAAAGTCCTTCAGTTGTTATACAATTCTTACCTGTGCTAAAACAAGAAAAAACTGGCTCTGGCCAAGATAAACTTCCTCAAGTTCTGCAGCTTTGCACTGTCAAGTCAGTATGAACCTGTGACCTTTTACAAGGAATGGCGAAAGTTGTACCTGTGGGCTACAGTAAATACTAACTGATTTTTAAGAAATGAAAGATACATAATTCCATCTGAACTTTCGACAGAAGAAAGGAGGTAAGCCATGGGCAGGGACGCCTCACCTTAGACTATTTCACCTAAGGCTCTGTCCAACCTGGCCTTAAACATTGCCACAGATGGAGCTTTTACCACTTTGGGCAGTCTGTTCCACTGCTTTGCCACCTTCACAGTAAAGAACTCCTTCCTTATATCTAACCTGAACTTCCCCTGTTTCAGTTTAAATGCATTTCCCTCTTGTCCTATCACTACAAGCAGTTGAATACTTCATACGCGATATGAATTCCAGAGTGTTTGACATGTCTCATGGTCTTCTGAACCAATAAAAGAGACTTTTGCAAGGGATATATAGTTCAGTTCTGTGCAAGTGAAAGCTAAATAAGTGGAATTCCAATTAATACATTTTGGATACTTAGACTTTTAAAAGCTTTTTTTTTTTTTTTTTTCCCCTTGTAAAGTGAATACAAGAACAACAGGACAAAAACAAAAAACCCAACCCCAAGCTATTGTTTTATTTTGACCAGAAAAAGTGCTAAACTATTTAGCAATATACATATGACATTTTTTTGCCAATACACAACTACACGAGTTAGTGTGTAAAATAGTATTTTGAGAGAAGTTTCAGGAGTTAAGTTTTTCAGATTTGTGCTAGAACAGGTGACTTGCAGTGTGAAGGAAAAGGAAGTGGTAGAGAAATTGATATTCTACATTTGTTCTTTTGGAACAGGTGATAACTTCTTGTACTTCAGCAATGGTTGGAATTTTTAGCATACATGAAAGGTATGGGTAACAACAAAATTACTTCTGCCTATGACTTTTCTAGATGTGTGGGCTATACTATGGCTCAGATCTTGAAAGTATTAGAAATTTCTCTTGCTTCTTGATTTTTAATAGAAACACTTATTTCCCTGTAATTCTTGTCATAAATTGTTTGTATCACAGAAATTCAAAACTAGTCTGCCCTTTTCCTTTTACCTCTAAGTCTGTTTCATATCTCCCTTAATTCCCAAATAGAGGAAAAAACACTTTGTTGTCTGTTTTTTTTTCCCTATATAATAGGATTAGAATGATGCTTTGCAAACATTATCCAGGTGTAAAACTATGAAGATACTGAGACAATCCAAAGGAACAAGAAAACAATCCAAAACTTTCAAGAAATTGCTGGACACATCAGCATTTTGGTTGTGAAAGTTTTTCATAGTGAAATGAAAGAAGCTTAACTTCAGAGACAGTTGCATTCAAACTATGCCACTGTGACTTTCAGAGCAATATACACTGAGATTTCTGAGACAAAGTTGGGAAAAAGAAGATTAAGATTGAATGGTATTTTTTTTATTATTTTCTTAATTTTACATAGTAATTTTGTTGGAATTGGAATTATCTCCATTTTCTCTTGACCCAACCTAACTTCTGCAATTAACTACAGAACTAGGTAAGGGGTTGCTATCAAATGAAACCTTGCTCTTCTGAAAAATAGCCTTTTCTTTAAACCCCTCTTGGAAATCCTTCACTGCAAATATATCTTGTTTCTTCTGTTGTAATATTTCTTGTCTTGTTTCTTCTGTTGTAATATCTCCTGATTCTCTTAGGTAAGTGAGGTGATGCTTTAACAGTATATGATTTGTCTTCTGTCCCCAAACTCTTTTAGGTAAGCGTATGTCTCAAGTTGTAAAACACTAAAAATTTCTGATACTCTATAAATGATTAATAGCAATAATACAGCTGAGTAAATAAAGATGACTTTTTTGAGGTTGGAAAATGCTGCTGCTTTATTAGAGAACAAAATTAAAAATAAACATTCTGGTGTAACTGCACTGACTTTGGAGACAGTTTGCATGAAGGTCACCAATGTTTGCCTGCCTTGACATTTTGAAGAACAGTTCACTTCATTCTCATTCTCTTTATGCTTGTTTCAACATGGTCATCTGTTCTGCTATCCTCTTTACAAGCCTTGTATAAATAGGACTTTCATTCCTGGCAAACCATTTTAAAATCTGGCTTTAAAGTAAAGTAGAGAGAGATGTGAATAAAAGAGAAATTAAAAAACATTGGAAACAAGAATGGAATGAAGTCCCTGTGTTATAGTAGTTATTACTAAGTCACAATGGTTTTTGTCTTTTACAGCAACCTTCCTTTTCTCTGGAAGGGTCCAGCATTCTTTCTTACTAGTTTCTGCCTCTTTATGCCTCTGTGGGGATAACACTCAGATGGATTTAAGGTTAGAAGATAGCTGGCTACAAAAGTCAGATCATAGAATCCTAGAATCTTTTAAGTTAGGAAAGACCTTTAGCATGCAACCATTAACTTAGCACTGCCAAGTCCACCACTAAACCGTGTCCCAAAGTGCCACACCTACTCATCTTTAAAATATTTCCAATGACTCACCCACTTCCCTGGGCAGCCTGTTCCAATACCTGATCACCCACTCTGTGAAGAAATTTTTCCTAATATCCAGTCTAAACCTCCCCTGGTGCAACTTGAGGCCATTTCTCTTGACCTATCGCTTGTTACTTGGGAGAAGAAATGGACACCCATCTTGCTACAACCACCTTTCAGCTGGTTGTAGGTTACCATAATGTCTCCCATGAGCCTGCTTTTTTCCAGACTAAACAACCTCAGCTCCCTCAGCTGCTCCTCATAAAATCTGTGCTCTAGACCCTTCACCAGCTTCACTGGTTTTCATTGGACCCACTCCAACATCTCATGGTCGCTCTTGTAGTGAGGATCCCAGAACTGAGCACAGCCTTTGAGGCACTGCTTCATGAGTGCTGAGTACAGGGGGATGATCACTTTCTTCATCCAGCTGGCCACGCTATTTCTGATAGAAGCCAGGATGTTGTTAGCCTTCTTGGCTGCCTGGGCACAAGCTGACTCCTGTTCAGCTGGATATCCATCAGCACTCCCAGGTGTTTTTCCACAGAGCAGCTTTCCAGCCACTCTTCCCCAAGCCTGTAGCATTGCATAGGGTTGTTGTGGCCCAAGTGCACGATCTGACACTGAGCCTTGCTGAACCTCATATCATTCACCACAGCCCATCTATCCAGCCTTTCCAGATCCCTCTGCAGAGCCTTTCTACCCTCAAGCAGATGAACACTCCCAGCCAAGTTGGTATTGTCTGCAAACTTACTGAGCATGCCCTTGATCCCCTGGTCTAGATCATTGATTAAGAAATTGAAAAAACTGGCTCCAGTACTGAGCCCTGGGGAGCACCACTTGTGACCAGCTGCCAAATGGATTTCATTCCGTTCCCCACCACTATTTGGGTGCAGCCATCCAGGCAGTTGTTTTTCTAGCAAAGAATATACCCCTCCAGGTGATGAGCAGCCAGCTCATCTAGGTGACTGTCCCAGTTTTGGTAAAAGGTATATAATATCAATTGCTGGAAAGGGCATCATAAAGGAAGTTGACATGTAGGAACAGGAATACATTTTTTTTTCTTTTCCAAGCATGTTATAATATTTGTGTGTGCTATTCCAAGGTCTATGCAGACAGTAAAGATTGGTAGATCCCATAGTGTGCTGGAAAAGTCAAATTATTATGGACCATTGAGTAAACTAAATGACTACTTAGGCAGAAATGGGTGGGCATATGAGTGATGATATTTCTCATTTCCTTGTAATGAATTTATCTGATGCTATACATGGTTGTTTTGGTAATAACTGCTCAGCATTTCATTCATATAAGACTTACTGTAAAGAAGAAAACTGTTCCAGCATTTCTTAAGGTCAGAACTTCTTGAAAATGTAATGTGTTGGTTTTGGTTTGTTTGTTTATTTTTTCTGCTTTTCAGCTACACTAAACCATACAAAATTAACAAAAATATCAAATGCTTGAAACCAAGCTACTGGCTGCATCTGGTGTATCAATTCAGTTATTCTCTCAGCTGCCTTGTGCTGCTACAGAAACCTGCAGATCTCCTTTGGTAAAACTCTTGTTCTGATTTGTAGGAAGTATTCCTGTGAATGATGGTTTGTCCCTGAACCACCTAGATACTTTACCTACCTAAAATAGACATGGCAAAATTAATGGGTCTAGTGTGAAGTGTCCCTGCCCATGGCAGGGGGGTTGGAACTAAATTATTTTAAGGTCCTTTCTGACCCTAACTATTCTATGATTCTATGATTCTGTCTTTCTTGCCTTAAGAGTGGCTATTTGGGTAAGATTTTATTGTATGACTCCATTTAACAGAACATTGAAATGAAAGACTTATGAGATTGCTTCCAAACCTTCCTTTTTCAATGTTTTTGATATGTTGCTGCATCTCTTCTGAAACATAAGGGTTTACAATGATGAGTTTACACAATAGAATATCCTCCATGATATCACTATTTATGTCTGTGCTGAGAGACCAGCTATGGTAGGAAAGGCTGCATACCAGTACCTCAAATCTGGTTTCTTAGCAGAATTTTTGTAGAAGAATTAGACTAACACCTGTACTATAAGCCAGTTCCTCAAAGGAGAGAATCCTTTTCTTAAAACTGGTTCAATTGCTTAAAAAATAGTAACTGTTTCTCCACCAATTTTGTGGAGAAACAGTTGACCTTCTCAGTGAGTGAATATACGAGCAAGCGTATGCTTTTTCTCTAACCCTGTAAATGTTCTCACCTTCAAATTGAACAGCTCTTTGAACTGATGAGACAGTGGAAATAATTCAATATTTTGATAAGATCAGTTACTAGTTAGGTATTAAGTCAGGAGATAGGATAGCCTCTGTACTTGCAAATCCTGTAAAAATTCCTGATTGTGTAGTTTAATATTGCCTCTAAAATTCCTCTTTTGATTTCATTTAGTCACACTTAATTTAATTTTATTTTGATATCTTATTTTGTTACGGATTTCTGACAGAAAGGTATTTGAAATATGAGACAATACTGCCTTTTTTCCTCTCTTGTAACCTCTGTAAGTATATTCTTGGTCTATTTGCTCACTTCAGTCTTAGATAACTTGATCAGTCCATGTAACTGGTCTGTGACTAACCACACTAAAAGCATCAGGGAAGCATTTTACCGCTTCAATGAAATAAGTGCTTTTTGACTGTCTTACGAAAAGTTAGCCAAGTTGGCTGGCTGAACAGGTTTCACAAGTCATATATCCTTGCTGTTCTACATCCTTTGTTCTTACCTTGCAAATTCTGCTACATGTTGCACGTGTTTTGCTGTAGCCGGTTTGTGAAATTATACCACAAGCCTCTATTTAACCCTTTGTGTTTATGTATTATTTATTATGTATAAATGTCTGCTTAACTTTGCTATAAAATGTTATACACTGTCACTGGTTAATCTATTTCAATGTGTTTATTTCTGTCTTCAAAGAAAGAAAATAGAAGTTATACCCTGCTTAGCATACTTTAAATTTATGGGTGTAATAAGCTTCTACATTGGCTGCACATCACCTGAATTCCTGAACTAGCACATGCTCTTGACCAAGCAGTGAGGCTGCTAAATCTTCTGACTTAATTACTCATACAAAGTGGAAAGCTAATCCACAAGTAAGACAGAAAATGCCCCAAAGGGAGAGAACAAAAAGCTGATGCAATCCTTACAATCTATAATGGCTCAGAATATTCAGCAGTGAGATGCTGAGAACAAAAACCTCCTCTTTCATCTTTCATAGGGCTGGATAGAAGCTACAGCTTCTGTTGAAAAATTAAACTACAATGATTTTGTAATTTGTGTGTGCAAGAGACTTGATAAAAGTTGAGAGAATTATCTCATGGCTACTGTGAGTGGAAGGCCCTATTCCACCATCTTTTATTTGTGTTATGGTTTGAAAGGCTGAATGAATTAAATGTTTTACCGGTACAAGGCCATGTACAATATCTCAGTTTGGGCAATCCTTGTATTCTCAGCAAAATGTGACATCAAGCTTAAGATGACATACTAATAGATCAGAAATTCAGTCTGTTTCTAAGTGCTCATCCATAAGGTGTGCAGATGGATGCACTTCCCAAGACCTTTGATAAAAATAGATATTGACCTCAAAAGAGTAAATTATTTTTTTTTCTACTGGGAGAGGAATTCCCACATTTATCATAAAGTTGCAGAATAATTTTTCATTTTCTCAGTCTCCAGGTATGAGTCAACACTTTATGTTTCTCACCACACTCTTGATGAGTGAGCTATAGAGGACAATTTCCATCTAATCTCATTTAATGGAGAATTACTCTTTTTTCATGTCAGACGGAAAAGAAAAAAAATGGTGTTGTCACAACTGTCCTCCAAGAAAGTGGATTTAAAATAGGCATGCAAAATAAGACAGGCCTTACTTGTTGTGGAAAAAGGATTGAGACTTCAACCAAGCTGCAAAACTTGATACCATAGAGTGAGGGAATGCATCATGAAATAAGCAGGGAAATAAATTGTCTCTAATGTTTACATTAGCAATTCATGTGATTAGTAATTACATGAAATTTCTAACTGGCTACATTTCCTCCAGTTTCTTGAGGAGTTTTCTCACACCAAAGTTTAGCAGTTTAGTAGCATGGTGTTGTGGTTTAAGCCCAGCCGTTAATTCAGTACCACATAGCAGTTCTCTCACTAAACCTCCTTCCTCCGCCTGCTCCTGGAGGGATGGGGAGGAGAATCAAAAGAATGTAACTCCCACAGGTTAAGAGCAGTCCAGTCACTAATGTATAACACAAACCACTGCTGCTACCACTGATAATAATAATGATAAGAGAAATAACAAATGACGAGAATACAACCACTCGCTACCTGCTGACTGATACCCAGCCCGACTGAGCAGTGATCTAGCCCTTCCGAGTAACTGCCCCCAGTTTATATAGTGGGCATGATGTTCTGTGGTATGAAATACCTCTTTGGTTAGTTTGGGTCAGGTGTCCTGTCTCTGCTACCTCCTGGCTTCCCCTTCTCCCTGGCAGAGCATGAGACTCACAAAGTCCTTGGTCAGAGTAACCATTACTGAGCAACAACTAAAAACATCAGTGTTATTAGCGCTGTTCCCAGGCCAAAAGTCAAAAATACAGCACTGCACCAGCTACTAAGAGGAGAAAAATGACTGCTACTGCTGAACCCAGGACATATGGTAAATTTGTTTTACTTAGTTCTTAAACTGGGATTGAGTTACAAATTATGCATATTCCTGATTTGGTTTACAATGGTTACTTACCAGCCAAAATCTGGTATTTCATTGTATCCTTTAATCACATTTTTTTTCTGACTTCCTGGGAAAAAAAATCTGCCCTTTTCCACCTTCATTATATTGTCAGAATGAAGTGGTTGTGTCTTGGGGAAAAATGGGGTATGGTTCTGTAATACAAGTCAACAGTTTTCCAATGTGACTAAGAAAATAAATTTCAAAACAAAAGCAAAAGTCAGAGAGTAACTAACTTTGTTGTAGCTGACCGGGTGGGATCCAGGAAAAATAGGGACTGAAAAAAAATTCCAGCACATTCATTAAGTATAGGCTAATGGTAAAGGACTATAAAATATTTGTTGTCCTTCCACAAACTAGAAATAAAATTATGTAAAAATTTATTCTTTAGAACGATTTTTTTTGTTGTAGCTGCTGGCTCTCCAATATTGCCTTCAATCTTCATTAGACTTCTCATTTTTATGCTTAGCAATAATACATGCTTAAGACTTTGCTTATTTTCACTGAATTTGACATGTATAGAGACAAATAGTCTTGTGCTGTTGTAAAATGATGTAATTGTGATAAGCAGAAGGTATGTACTTTTCTACCGTCAAATGCATCAGTTTAACAAATAATCAGTGATTAGTAAATGCTCCTAGTTTAAACATCCCACTCAAATAAGTTTAACTACAAAACTGGATACTGCTCTATCAGTGTAGAAGTCACTGTGGTTTATAAACCCTGCTTGAAGGTAAATCTAGAATACTTTCAAGAAATTAAAATGGTAAATAAAGGTTTGCAAGATAATTCCATGAGGTACAGAGCAGAAAATTATTATACTTAGTTCATGCCTGAAGCCACATCTTCAGGGATCTGAACTTCTCCCAGTCATTCTGGAGAGTGGTTCTGTGTACAGCAAGGTCAACACAGACAAATTTGCAGGGCAGTGAATCCAATCCTGTTTCCTTTCAGTAGAGCATCAGGGCTCAGGCACATTTGCTCAGTCTCAGCATGAAAGACTTAACAGTTGGCATAATAGCTAGGTTGGAAATTGCCCAGTAACTGATCCATAATTTGCTTACATAATCTATGAATGCTGGGTATACCTACGGATTATGCCTCTCCACATGTCAAAAGTGCAGAAAATCTGTGAACTCAATCTCTTGAAAATGATTATATAGTGTCTTGTTAAGTAAATATCAGTTAATGTTTTGTTTCTGCAATGAGTGTTTGTGCATATGGAATAGTTTTATGAGCCTCCTGGGGAGAAAAACTTGTCAAAGCAATGAGAATGCTCTAAGCAACCTGTTTCATTTATACACACTGTTCAGTCTTGGATTATAGGCACTCAAACAACAGATATCTTATGTGTACCTGAATCCAGTGGAATTCAGAGAAACGTTCCTCCCAGAATTCAGTCTGCAGCATAAAGTCCCTTACTCCTCTGATAAGTCACTTATTTCCAAAATGAAAAGCAGAAGTTTGTCACAAAGTTGCATTTGGGAATTCAATGTATTTGCAGTTTAGAACATTCAGGTTCTTTGAGTGTATGTCTTCAATTTCAGTGGCTGCAGAAATATATCTGGAGTAACTCCTCACACTGTGTGCCAAACTTGTGATGCCATGTTAGGAGATCATAGTGCTCTTACTTGCAAAATTGTCCCAGTTTAGAAGATTCACAACAGTTTACACTTCATGGGGGAGAAAAACTTCCACAATCTTCTCCACACAACTTAGGTTCCCTATGCCACAAGCATTGAAATGTTCTTGCTTGTCGTTTTATTTCTTAAAAGTAGCTATGAAGAAAACTATAATAAATGAGATCTAGGTTTATTTTGTTCCTTACTGACACAAAAGCATTCAAGTGGCTTGCTGCTGACAGCAAGGATATTTTCCTTAACAATTTTCTTTACCAATTTCACTGGTTGCTTCCAACATGGAAAAAATAAACAAATAAAAATACTGTTTATTTTGCTTGAGCATTGGAATATAAATTGATTTCTATCACTATTAGATAGGTGTTATACATCTGACTTTATGCAGATTTGATAAATCATTTTCAGACAAGAACAGAAATAACATGAATTTGGTAGGAACCTTAAAAGAATTTGATTTTGCTGAAAGACCATTTATTTGGCTTTTAGGGTGGAATTTAATTGTGATTTTGTCTGCAGTCAGGTTTGACACTGCAGCAGTCTTAAGAAAAACAATTACAGTGGAAGTACTCATATGTTGCCTGCTATGTGAAAAAGCTGAAGTGTCTCTGTAACTTCTATAAAGGATCATTATCTTTGAACACATTGCATTGATGTTCTGCCACGTCCTGTATAGGATTAGTTCTGCTCACTCTGTCTTCCAACAGGCTTGTTTTTAAGTGATTTTATACTTCCATATTACAAGATTTTACAGTTTCTGGAATCCATGTGTTTGTCCTGGTCAAAATTTTGTGTTACCAATCTACAGTAAAAAAATAAACGTCTCTTGAAGCACAGTGAAAAAAAAAAAGAAAATGGAAAAAAAAGAAAATTATATGACCCTTCTGTAAAATTTAATCTATTATTTTCACCTTTTAATCCTTGGAGTACAATCACAAGGGCTCAGTATAACAGAAGCTGAAACATAACAACTGTAAAAAGGAAAGAAGTGGAAATCAAAATAACCACTATCTAAGATGATGAATGTCTGATTTGGACATTAACGAAAGTTTGATTGTTGCTTTTGGTGGTGCCTGCAATAACTCAGTACTAGATGATAGTGTCTCCAGCCAGCATTGCTTATGGGAATTAAAAATACCACTTTAGGCCTGGATGTGTAAAGGAATCAGTCACCAGTGCTGAGTGCAATCTAGTAGAAGCTGGGAAGAAAACTGCAATAGCGTCCTCTGAAGTCTCCCACCATGAAAATCCAAATATTGCTTAGAATAATAGATTTGTAATCATTAGTGTCTTCCAATGAAGGTATTTTTCAGTGGAAGTGAAAAACAGATTGCCTGTACTTTGAACTGAGCAGATTATTTTCTCTCTTGCAGTGTCAGACAGGCAAAAGAACTCTCCCCAGCCAATTTCACTAATATAAAGTGTATGTCAGAGTCTGTAAGAATCAGGGTTCCTCTTAATCCCTACAGACTACAGAAACTCAGCTTCAAGCATTTCTCATGTACAAATGTGTTTCCAATGAAAAGTCAGCTTTGATGAAGTATGTATGTATTGTTTTAGAAAAACCCCACTGTGTAGGATATTTGTTTGCTTTTGTGGATGATGGAGTGAGTGGTGTGTCAGAAGGGAAGTCCTCTGTTACCTCTTTTTCCTTCTTTGTGGCCTTAGTGAAAAGAAATTGTCATTTTAATTTTTTTTTTGTATCAGAAACTGGGAGAAGAAAAGATTTGATTCTTGCTAATTAAAAAGTTCTTTCTCTTGAGGTTACAAAACCATCTCCCACCAAAAAAAAAAAAAACCTAACCTCAAACAAAAACCTAACCCACAAAAAAAAAGTATATAAAATATACATGAATATATAAACCTGATAGGAATGTGGATGTGTTCTTAGTACAGCTTTTGAGGTAGGAAATTTACATTACAGAGTGCAATCCTGAAACAGTCATTGGTATTCTATTATCTATAATTCCATGGTATAATCTTGTAGAAAGCAGATCAGTCAAAATATGGACACTTCTGAAAATTAAAGAAAATTAAAAGGTTCACTTACTAACAGTAAAATTTTGGTTGTTAACATTGATCTGAGGAAAAAGACATTTAGCCAGGTCAAGAATACACAATTGCAAGAGCTCTCTCACTGTTTTCTGCTCATTTTCTACAGTGTGATTGCATCCAACTGCAGTCCATCTAATCATGACATAAAAAGTCTGTTCAAGCAATAAGCTAATGTTTAGGAATTACTCACATTACTGCTTGATTCCCAGCACACAGTAGTTACGGAGGAAATTAGGAAGATTTAGGTAGCTTGTTGTAACTGCTCTTTGGTTCTATTTACTTTTTGTTAAGACATAAAAGAAATATCTCCAAGAGTAAGATGAAGGTTTAAACCAGTAGATATGGAAGAATTTGGCAAGATAGCATGTATAAGATATGTGTGTAATAGATTTTTTAATTCATGCCCATTATTAATTACTCCATCAAGGTGATTGAAATTCAATAAAACTAAAATGTTATGAGGAAGATTGTGTATTACGGTTTTGGACCATACTGTTTAAATATAGAAATTAGTATTAAGTTAAAAAATTTTATACTTAACCCTATTTCTGACTTGAATTTTCAGCCAAAAATCCTTTCTGTCTTCATTAAACTACAAAATTCAAGGTTCAATAGATAAAGATTTTGATTGAGCAAATATTTGATATTTATAAATAAAAGTCTGCTGCTGGGCTACTGTGACAGCTATAGCCCTTTTAGTTGCTTGGTTCCTATTCAAATGGTTTGACATCTATGACTAAGATTTTTTCAGGTGTGGGGGAACCTTGGTAGTTTTTGTTATGGATAAAATAACCCAAAATAAATCAGGAAAATCTTGGTAGCTTTTCTCAAGGATAAAATAAAACGGAATCAAAGGATTGTAATGTTAGGAAAAGCCTGGATTCTTAATGCACCTTGTCGCAATTCTGGTTGGTAATTCAGGAAACGTGAAATTTCCAGTCAATGAGATAAAAAAAGTTATTTGACTGATGTCGGCTACAACATTTCTCATGTTTAATGAGATGCTGCTGTAGAATGTTAGAAATGTGTTAATGTGATGGAGCTGGTAACATAAGAAGATAATCAGTTATTCCCTGACTACTGTTTCCAGTGTGTGTGAGGATAGTTTAGGATATTGTCTGTAAAGAATGAATTTGCCTAGAATTGAAGTCTCTGTATCAAACCCAACAATAGATCACAAGTAAGAATTTGCATCTCGTATTAACACCTCAAATTTCAGGAATAACTGCATAGTTTGTTGGGAGCAGATACAGAAAGATAAGTGGAAGGAAAATCACTGCATCGTTGTTTTATAAAGGCAGCATAGAAGCCCAAAATGAAGTGAAGAAGCTCAGAGGACATATCAGACTGCATTCTAAAGCTGCCCTTTGTTATCAAAATATGAAGGTGCTCATGACTGGAATGATTCTGACTGGAAACCATTGTACATGGAGAAGTTCATGACCTGTGTACCTCTCAACCTGAGTAGGAGCAGGTCCATGCTATGCTGCACATGCAGCCTGGGTATTCAGGCCTGCACAGTTGACAGTAGAAATGATGAATAGAGTTGTTTCATTTGAAGAAAAGCCCTATAATACCTTGAAGTACCAAAAGAGGGTAACCCTTCATGAACAGGATCTTCATGAGTGTGCTGCATCATGACTGGAGGCTCATTTGATGCTACACAAATTAAGATTCCCAGCATCTGAAGAGACATAAGATTACTTTTATTCTCCCGTCTTTCTTTATAGTGTTAATAATAAACAGTAAATGTTAATAAATGTCATTTTGAATGATATTTTAAAGAGTCTCCATGCTTTTCTGATGGGATTGTAATAAATCAGCACATCCTGGTGCAAAACAATGACTCATTATACAAAACATGAAGTACCAAAGCAATAGAAAATAATAATAGAATCAGAGAATTATAGAATCATAGAATTATAGAATGGTTAGGGCTGGAAACAACCTTAAGATCATCTAGTTACAACCCCCTGTGATGGGTTAATCATGTTCATAATGAAGTATTTTTTGTAGCTACTTCGTATTTTGAAAAGTAAGAAAATTCTGGAGGAATTCACAGAAGGTACACCGTTTTTCTATTAAGGAAGTAAAATATTACTATGGAGAACCTCCATTACTTATATATGTACACGGACTAAAAACTGTAGAGATGATACATTCCTATAATTCAGTTAGACAGCTTTCAGTGTCACACACACACACAAAAAAAACCTCATTGTTTTGGCTGTTCTATTAATGTTTTATTTGGTTTATTTGAAGGTGTTTATTTTGTTTTGTTTTGTTCTGTTTTGTTTTGTTTTTTTTTCATTCCAGTGAGATGGCTGGTGTTGGCATAATTCTTTTCTTTCTTTGCACACTTGCACATTATAGCTGTTATTTAGCTAAATGCATGAGATGTCTGACAGTTCCTGGAAAGCCTTTTGTTATAATTATTCTATAATTATATACTTTGCATTGTTGTTCCAGTACATGTAAATAAGTAAGGTTGAATTTTCAATCAAATTTTAAACTGGTGATGAATTTTTCAGGTAATTACAGTCAAAATAGGCATAATAGAACACAATGGCACAAAAGATAAAGACTTATGCTCAGGTTTTGGTGGAAGATTTTTCTAAGTATCTACATTAAAACATTAATTTCCTTTTTACAATAGAACAGTTCAAACTTACCCAGTAACTTTTTCCTTTTCTAAAAAATAAGATTGGTCATTCAAGCTAATAATGAGAGTAATGTTAAAATCATTCACTAAATAATGGCAGATAAATTAATCTAAATTAATTGT